ATGGGGGAGTTATGTTAAAATATAGAACAGTATATTTTCTCAAATCAGTCTTTGGGGACCCCACAGATGTCCGTGTTTTTGCTCCCTCCCATCTCCCAGGAATTTTGGAGAGAGCAAAAACATGGGCTATTTGAGGACTGGTTTGAGAACCTTGGTATTGAGAAGTTGTCTGTCCTGCTCCTTGCTGAGCTCTTATTGGTGAATCTGTCCAACATGACATTTGGATTTGTTCACTGCTGGAAAGCCACTAGACTTAGTATCAATGCGCACTCAGTTAAATGAACTTAAAAGCAAGAGATTTTAATTGTTTAATCATTTAGCTTCTGATTTTGTTAATCTCTCTTCCCTAGGTATAGACCAGGCACATCCCCATAAGAACGACATAACTGGCTGATGGCACGTGTATTGTCTCTCTATCGCTCCCTATCTCTGCACCGCCCTCTGTGTGTTTGGGGCTTGGCGGTTCGGAGGATGTCGCTAGAGCAACGGGCCCAGAAGGTGTTTGCAGCGGCAGTGGAGGGAGTGCAGCCTGATGTGGTAGTTCGCCGGAGCCTGCAGCGCAGTGGAGACTGCCTCCTGGTGGACGGATGCAGCTTTACTCTCAGACACAACTTGCATCTGGTGGGCTTTGGCAAGGCGGTGCTGGGCATGGCGTCCGAGGCAGAGAGGATCCTGGGAGACCATATAGTCAGGGGTGTGATCAGTGTTCCAGTTGGCATCCAGGAGGCATTGCGGAACCACGGGAAGGGGTAAACCTCTGTCCTTACTGCTATTTTTCATTCTCGCACCCTAAACCAGGAAGACTGTTGCCTTCCTTCTCTTGCTTCTGTTACTCAGGCACATGCTGCTGGGGGCAAACAGTCGTATTGAGGTCTTGGAGGGGGCAAGACACAACCTGCCGGACGCAGACGCTCGAAGGGCAGCCGACCGCATCCGTCAGATTGCCACTGAGCTCACAGAGTCTGACATACTACTTGTTCTCATCTCAGGTCAACCCCACCATTTCTTCCATAGCTGTTGCATAGTAGAGTGTGACCTGTTCTTTTTGCATTATTTATGCATAATTCTAGGTATCCATCTACCAAGAGCATAGATTTGTGAATGGATGGTAGGGACATGCCCCTACCAATATTGTAGGAGTACCGTGTGTGTTTAAGGGGTTTGGGGCTGATTTAGTCCCTACTGATGTTGAAACCAAACCTGTGCCCTTACCATCTACCGATTAGTTACTGGCGGATTTCACTTATTGCCCAGAATTCTTGACCTGTATGGTTGCAAAAATAAAATACTAAATTGACCTCAAATCAAAACCTGCATCTAGGTCCTAGCATCCAGGTATAATATTCAAGTATTTCTCTGATCTGATTCCAGGCCTGTTGGTTATCAGGCATTGCAGGTCATAGATGAACTGAACCACTTTGTCACTCAGTCTAAACAATTCAAATTCATTGCTTGATGACATCAGATATGGGTGTAGTCAGATAGTAGTTCACCATTGCAGACTAGATTCCTGTTAGGATGGAGGAGCAACTGGTCTCTCTGTGATTCAGAATCACAGAGATAAACAAATTTCTCTATGGCAACTCTTAGCCTCATTAGACTTATAATGCATTTTTAAAAGTCAATCAAACACTTTACTTACATCCTAAACCTTTAGATCTTTTCCTTGTCTTCAGAATGATGTCCTTTAAAAATCTTGATGTGCCTACCCAGGAGGTGGGTCTGCTCTTCTGCCTTCACCCATCCCACCGATCTCTCTGGAGGAGAAACAGGAAGTAACCCGCAAGCTAGCAGGTGCTGGTGCCACTATCCAGGAGTTGAACACTGTGCGGAGAGCCCTCTCTCAGTTGAAGGGAGGTGGTCTAGCCCACTGTGCCCACCCTGCTAAGGTCTGTTACCCCCAGAGCTCACACACAGTACCTTATAAACAGTCGGTGTGTGACAGCTATAACAGCTAATGATAATACAGCTATGATGTTACTTGTTCCCTACACATCCCATTAATAGCAAATATTTCACACCAGTAATACAATGAGGTGTAGAGCTGGTCATGTCCCTTGCCTGTAGGTGGTAGCACTCGTTCTCTCGGACGTGATTGGAGACCCTCTGGATCTGATTGCAAGTGGTCCTACTGTGCCATTTGAAGCTGGACCAGAAGAGGTGTGGCAGGTTTTGGAGCGCTATAGACTCAACGATTCGCTGCCAGCGTCGGTCAAGGAGGTGCTTGGCCAAGCCAAGCTGCGGCCAGGAAAGGAGGAAATGGGGGAAGAGGTGGAAGAGAGTCGGGTGCTGAATGTGGTGATTGGCTCTAATGGCATTGCCCTCCAATCTGCCGGCCGGTGTGCACGTGAGCTGGGGCTCCGTCCCATCGTGCTGTCCCCGGCGGTTTGTGGGAACGTGCGCTCGGTGGCCAATCTCTATGGCCTGCTGGCCCGTTTCGGCTGCGCCACGGTTGACCCGCCTGCTGAATGGGCCCAGCAGATCCTGCAGCTGGGGCCCGAGGTCGGCGTGGAGAGCTGGGACCTGTATCGAGCCATGCGTGTGCTACGAGAGGGGCACGACGAAGGCTGGGGCGTCACCTGCCTGATGGCTGGAGGGGAGCCTACGGTTGAGCTGATTGGGATGGGTCGGGGAGGGCGGAACCAGGAGCTGGCTCTGCGGGTGGGACTGGAGCTGGGTGGAGAGCGCCCCCTGCAGGACACTGTGTTCCTAAGTGGTGGCACAGATGGCCAGGATGGACCCACGGATGCTGCAGGTGCCGTGACTGATGGCGGCCTTCAAGAGGAAGCCCACTCGCAGGGCCTCGACAGCAGCAACTTCCTCCTTAACAACGACTCCTACTCATTTTTTTCACGACTATCTTCTGGCCGACGCTTGCTTCTGCCAGGACTCACTGGCACTAATGTGATGGATGTGCACCTTCTGCTGCTGCCCACAAGCTCCACCCATCCCCGGCAATGAAATGGCCTTAGGCTGGTCATATCATAGCAGTCCTGTCATTCTTATGCAACATCAAGGGGGTATTAAGCAGATTAGCTAGTAGCCCCAGTAGTAGTAGTTCAGACCTGATCAATTTCCATTCCAGAAACTGAGATCAAGGTGAGCATCACTTAATTACTATGGCAATTAATGCTTTGAACCGTGGTTGTGGTTGTGTGCTGGGCTGTCAGATTCAGCCTGCCCATTTCTTCAAGAGATGGTTGACATAGAAGCGGAAATTCTTCACCAGTTAGACATTCTGCTATTCCCTGGCAAATAACTTGCAAAACTCTTCTTACCGCAGTCCATGATTTATTCACTTATGTTCCCCTGGGATCAATAAAGTATAATTTGATTTGGATTTATTTGATTTAAGTGTATCTTGTTTATTTGAACACATTTTGAACACAGAAAATCTTTACTCAACATTAATACACACGTACTGTCTAAACACTTTTTTTCCACTTCAAAAATACATGTGTTAATTCTCAAAATTGTTTGTGTCACTGCACAAATGATATTCAATGCCAAGCGAAATGGCCAGGCTCTGTCCCTGACTCACGGATTTAAAGGAAATGTACATTGTACGATAAATTTGCACATGGTACGCAATGTACATCCCCCCCCATAATATGATAGTTGCATGGTCTCCTCCTTAGGGTCAGGGGGTACCACTTCCTGTCCACTCTGATGATCCCTAACCCTGATCCAACACCTGGACCTTAGTTACACTGCAGCCTGGCCCATAGCAGGGCCAGTGCCAGGGTAAAGATGACTGAAACGCAGGGCTGGCCAGTCTGGATGCAGGTAGCGGAAGTCAGAAATGAGGATGTCTGAAGTTGGTACCTGGAATTCCTCCCCTGGACCATAGCCCTTCCAGTTCACCAGATACTGCAAGCAACTACCCCTGCACCTGGAGTCAAGCAGGTCTCAGATTGAGTATGTTGGTTACAATCAATGTCCAAGGGAGGAGGAGGCACCACAGGGGTGGCTGGTGTGTACATTGGGCTGAAATAGATGGGCTTGATAAGGGAGATGTTGGTTGGGCAACTGTAGGTAGTTTGAGACTCTGTTGTTGTGTTGGAGGATTTTAAAAGGACCTATGTTCCTATAGTAGGAAGGGTTTTTGGGAAGGAGATGGAGCTGAATGTTCCGGGTAGAGAGCCAAACCCACTGACCAAGGTGGAGTAACAATGATGGTCCATGTTAACCTCCTGGTGCCACTCAACCTGGGTCATTTACCCAGGAGTGACTTCCCACACTCGACTGCTCTTCTGGAACCAATTAGCTACAGATGGAACATATCTTGGCTCTATGTCCCATAAGAATAGAGGAGAATGATCTATGCAACCAACTATACATCCTAACATCCTAACATCCTCCATAGCTTCTCGGGACTCTTCAAACTAGTTCCTGTATCTGCTAGGCCAAATAATGGATCACAAGCTTGATCTCACCACCCCCCGTATAATTATTATGAAAAGAAGCATCATGAAATAAAAAGCTGCTTTGGAAAACCCTTATTCAGCAATACATCAATGTGAAAAATTTAACTTTACTGTGAAATATATTTTGAATTATTTATCAGTATTTTTTGAACATTTTCAAAACATTTTAATCATACCACGATAATACCAATAAGCACACTTCAGATGATGTTTATGGACTTAAAGTGCAGCACTGACCTCACGGCATGTGTAATAATCACCAGGACTTTAGATATTGTCTGGGTGCTGGTGTTTCGGGTAATGTACGGACGTTTACTTACATCCATGTATTAGGCTGAATTCGCGGACGATTACGTTGCCCACGTGGCATGGAATTAATCCTTTTACTGTAAATTGTGATTGTGGATTAATTCTGATCGTGTATGGACTAATCATCCTGAAATTCAGATACATCGCCCATGATTCACCCAGAATATTATTGAACTGCACAAACATGTTATTTTTACCGATCACCTGTACAACTAATTCTTCACGAATAACTTGTGTCTCATTAAAAAACGGAATGCTTATCTTGGTTTTAGGAGGGAGGGTCGGGTCGGTTTGCGGGATGCTTATCTCGTCCTCAGGGCAAGGGGAGGATCGGTATGCGGTATCCTTATCCTCAGGATGACGGGGAGGAAATGCGCAAGGGCCAATTATCTTATAATTTCTAATACATTTCGCAAGCAGCCTTACTCGGACAAAAGTGGGAATTTGAGAACACATTGTCTGAGGGAAGGGGTCGGCCTGGCCAGCTCGTCCCCTGCCCGCACGCAGCGCTAAATTTAGTATAAAGGAAGGGGGAGACCCCAGTACTGACCGGAGCTCAGTGGGATATTGCACGCATCTCCCGGCACTTTCTTGGGACTCGCGTGTTAATTGGTCTCCTGCCAGAACTGAAAAGGGCTCCCCAGTCCGTGTGTGAAGGTGGGTGATTATAGCACGTCCGAGTGTACATAGTTTTGTAGCTGCTTATGCATTTCATGGATTATGGGGATTAATTATCACCACTCGTGATAATTCGCATTTTATTGTTTATTTACTATATATATTTGTTTGCATGATATATACTATTCTATATCCCTTGTAGTACAAGGTTATTTTGCATTGCTTTCGATACGATAGCTTGGTATTGATGTTAATGCGAGGTTATTTTGTATTACTTATTAAAGTGTTTTTGAGTGAACCTAAGCGTGCCTGTTTGTTCCTTCGAGAGCCCTATCACATCATTTTAATACAGTCCACAATTTGGTAAGCATATTAGTAGTGCACCTAAAATATTGAGAGGTGTATTGTGATGCCCATAAATCCGGCATATCTTTGTTTAATAAACGTATCAGACTTTAAACTGCAAAACAGCGTAACAATAGTTTGGATTAAAGACTTTTATTACACATTCAAATTAAACTGAACATCACTGGAGAAAGAAATGCCAGAAAGCAAGCTGGGTTGGGGGAGAATGGAGAGTAGCCAGATAGAGAAGTTTATAACACTAATCATCGTCACAGTCCTGCTGTCATGGGATACGGTTTAATCTTATTTCCACTCAAGTTTTCAGAGTCTCTTCTCAAGATGGGCCAAATTAAAGCACCTGCTGATGAACTTCATTTTGTTTATGACCAGGTGTGTGGAATAAAGGAGAGAATGGCGGCAGACTTTCCTCAAGCTTAAGTGCTTGTAATGGAATCATTCTGGTTTAAGACTGGATATAACAAATGAACAATTATAGAAACCAACTAGCATGAGAAAAAAATAAAGAAATACAAAATACACTTCAATATCACATTTTCAGGGGGTGGGGGTTCTAAGAACCAGCCTTAGGCTGTTTAAGGCTCGGATATGGTTTGAAGCTAGCCCTCCCAGTCCAGATGAAAACCTTCTCCCTGAAAAGCAGGCCAGACACAATCTGACTTACTGAGTTTACCAGGACGAGTCGGAAACCTGAGCTCCAGACTCCAACCAGTGGAGGTCAGTGTAGATGTCAGTTGGTACTGGTCTCCCAATGATTTGGGTTTGATCTCCCAGATTAGCATCTGACAGGAACTAAATGGTCCAAGGAATCCAGCCAGACTCAAGAAGACCCCCCTCACTCCTCTGTCAGGAGAGTTGCTGCAGTTCCTCTGGTGGGCCCACCTGGAACCTTGCTTGTCACTCACGGTGAGTCTTAAAACCATCTCCTGAAGCACTCTCCCTAAAAGGAAGAAAACAGACTTTATCAAACCATGGCACAGTTTTACTATCTTACTCCCCCATTTGAAAACATCTACACACCCAGATCAGCTACACGCCAAATATTAAAAGACACACAATGGCAATGCCCTGCAAGTAAAGCTACTTTCACCAAATGGAATGACCAGTAAAGTGTCAGAATGGACAGACACTGAGTGTCGTAGATACATTATTGTACATGGAAGCAGGACACCTACCAGCCGCCGAGGTGTGACGCAGCATCTGGAGTACCGCCATTCTGCCCGCCAACACCTAAGATGGAGAACGTTTACAAGGCTGCTAGTCCTTGATATTCAGTACTAAAATGTGCATTAGCAGCTCAGTTATTGGAAATCAGAGCAGAAGACTGAAGCTGTTATGCTTCTCAATATTTATATAATTATATTAATTATGGGACAAAACCAAAAGGAGGACTATTGTTTTAGGGGGACAAAAATATTAAATCTTGCAGGCTGTAGGTCTGGTGTCTGTCATACAAACACAGCCCAAATTAAATACATGAGCTGTTTTCCTACTGCAGGAAACTCAGGAATGTAAGAAACTGGCCCAATTGTAGTTCCTAGGAGGTAGTTCCTGAATGTTTTTTAGTCCCTACTCTGGAGTAGGTACTTTCCGCTCAACTAGAAGCTACTGGATGGGGCTTATAGCAATAAAAACTTTGCTGACTGGTTGACCACAAGCACTGGCACTAACTTGAGTTACACAGAAGTGCAGGGAAGATAGATAGAAGTATTGCAGCAAAAATTAAGGAGATGGAATTATTCTGATATCTGTTAAATGCATTAATGAATCTTTTTTGCCTGCCTCTCCATTTTTCTGCATCAGAAAATTCATACTACAACTGATATACTTCTGTCTAATTTCACCAGTGTCAGTAGCAGAATAACATGACATTTTGTTTTTTAATTCTGTGAAAAACGAAAGATCAATCTGCTGGCCAGATTCGGTAATGAATTGTAAAAATGTTGCAGGTCATATAAAGAACAACAATATCAATAACTAACAAATAACTAGCAAAACTACTTTTTCATTATCCATTGTTTTGGGGTAGCAGTGTAGTTACATATGAAATTACAAGTAAAGTTTAATCTACGAGCTTTTTGAGTCTCCCATGCATATTTAGCATAAACATCATAGTTCCTGTTGTGTGCTGGGAAAGTGACACAAGAAAGTGGCCAGGAACCACAAAAATTCCTAGTCGAGACAACCCAGTCCTCAGAATCAGGAACTAGGTTCCTGAACTATGGTGAGATGTATGGTGCCTACAGTGAGGTTACAGCAGACAAGTTTTAACCTGCAAGCTGCTAGACCCAAAATTGTAAAATCTGATGCACATACTCAATTTACCTAGTTATAAACTTTATATAAATCCCTGAGAAGAAATTAAGGTACAAGCAAATATAGATGGTACAAACAATAACAACAGATAATGTAAGAATGTGAATGCACGGTCAGCGTTCAGTTTTGCTGCCTGTGGATCTGGCAGTGAGAGAGGAGCTGTATAGTCTGGTGGCAACAAGCAGAAAAGTTCCCCTACAGCAGGGGTTCGTAACCTTTTTGTGAACCATGGACCTTTTTTGGCGATCTGGTTAATCATATGGACCCCTTCTTAAAAGAAATGAAACGCACATACAATGGACCCTCGAACTTCAAACACAATCTGTTCCAGGAGATGGTTCGACTTTCGAGTTAAATTTCCCCATAAGAGATAATGTAAAATGAATTAATCCGTTCCAAACCTCCAAAATGTACCCAATGCAAAACATTTTAAGTGCCCATTTCAAAAGATAATATTGATAAATAGTAGGAAAACAAGTATATTTAATTTTAATAGCTGAATGTTATTTATAATAGTACATACATAAAAATATTGTATAATAATTAATTTTTAAAGTTGGAAACTTTCCATGAGAATGTGAATATATGGGAATTAACGGGATTATATAGGAATTAATGGGAATAAAATGGAAATTGCAAAACTGAAGGTTAGCGAATAACAGGGAAGTTAAATGTAGCTAAAACATCTTGCAGCATAATCTTCGTTAATACAACCAGATTTAATGCAAATTCACTTGAAATTCTACCCTGCACTGTGCATTGTTGTGTTGTTGACCGTCAGGCTGGTTCTCCCGCAGAATCTCCGGTTTCACGCCCTGGGTGGCCTCACCCAGCCGCTCACAGCTTCTCCAAGATGTCCTGCCCGGCCATGCAGCGTGACCTCTGCCCAATGCAGCTCGCGGCACGTCTGAGGCAGCTGGGCCTCCAAGACGCAACACGCCTCCTCCTGGTCGGACAGTGCCGTCTCGCGACCATGCAACGCCGCCTCTGCTGCCTCGGCCAGACACTTCTGGCAGTCGCACTCCTGCTCCCAGCTAGCCAGCTCACCGTGCAGCTGCTCCAGCTCCTACTGCTCCTGCCCCGTGGAATCACACAGCTGCTCCCGGTCCGGCCGGTACCGGTCCTGCTGCTCGTCTAGCTTGCGGCGCTCCTGAGCTAGCCAGGCCTCCCAGCTGTGACATGCCTCTTTGCGCTCCAACAGAGCAACCTCCGCCCACTGCCTCTGCTGGTTGTTCTGGTTGACCAGCAGGGATGTTCCAGCTGTCGGGAGTCCCACGTGGTGCCCGCCTTTCCCGTTCACTGCTGTTGTCTCTGATGAAGGTGTAGCGGGCTGGCAGGAGAGGCTTGGGAACATGCTGCACATGTCTAGGGCACTTCGAGAAGGCAGGGCAGCACGTCTTTTGCTGTGGCGCTCTCAGCTCGTCTGTAAGCAGCTTTGGGGTGGACTTCTGGGCAGAACCGTAGCCGGTGCCCCCTTTTGCCACAGCCCCAACAGACAAGCTTCTCCCTCAGAGGTGTCTTCTCCCTGGAGCCGGTGCCTCTCAGTTCGCAGCTTCACCACAGCCTACAGAACTGCCAGGCCGGAGGGGACTTGCTTGAATATAGTGAGAATCATCCGCTTCAGCAGTGCCAGTGGGGCCACTTCTGGCATCTCACTTGTGACACCATCGCGGCAGCGGCGAATGAAGATGAGGACGGGCAGCTTGACATAAAGTTCCTCTTTAATGTGGTTCTTAAAAGGATCGCACTTAAATGACAATAACAGAGGAATGCAAACACGGCAGGGAAAGGCAGGGAGGTTCAAATTTTTTAGAATTTGGTGATTAGTGGTCATTGTTGACAGACCACAGCACACAGTGCACAATAACGAAATATGTCCTCTTCATCCCATATGAGACACCGTGACACAGCAGGGGGCAGCTAATTCAGTGCCCGGTGAGCAGCATTTGGGGGTGGTACCTTTCTCAGGGTACCTCACTGGTGTCTTGCTGGTCGGGGATTCGAACCAGCAATCTTTCAATTACACGTTTGCTTCCCTAACCATTAGGACATCACCGCCCACAAAATTTCACTCTCCCTGGGTGGGCTCGAACCACCAACCTTTCGGTTAACAGCCGAACACACTAACCGATTGCACCACAGAGACTGGTTACACAATAACCTCACATGTGGTAGGGTAATTACACAACGGACACATCGGTATCACACATAAAATACAGGTAAAGGTACACTCGATACAAGGGAAATACAATACAAGTATTAACATTAACAACAACACAGGGGATATTTACAACATATCCCAGCATGCTCAGCAGAGCCATCTCGCTGGCACTACAATAATATAAATATGACACAAGGAAATAAATGCTTAAAGCAGTCTGAATTTGTGAGATGCTAACTGAACCGAGAACTAACCGAGTAACCGTGCATACGACCAAGTAGAGAGATAAGGCGACCATGTGATTCTTTGTTTGCGTTTCAAACTGGATTTTCCTCAAAGTTTTTGTTCAAGTTGTTTTAATATCAAACCATTTGAAGTTTGAGGGTCCACTGTATCTGAACTAGATTAGTCACAACATTTGCAGGAATTGTCAATACTACATTGGTTCATGATTGAAGGAAATGCTAAACATCAGTATGACGTTTGTGCAGATAAGAAAAATGTGCCAGGTTAAGAACCCTCTGCCCAACTAGAGCTTCCCAGAGCACTGATGGAATAAGCCAAAATAAAGGTGCCATGTCACGTGGTTCTTTGTTTTCAACTAGTTCCACCATTATCGTCTCTGTAGGTGAGAGCAAGCTTTCCAATCTTAACAATTTGTAAGTTATTTTAGCGCAACATACTTGTAGTATGGATGGTTTAAGTGTGAAGAATGTACAGAGGCACTCGTCCTAAAAGGGCTTAGTTACTGTACGTTCTGTGTGCAATCAAAACGTTTAAGAGGACTATATTCACCTTGCTTATGGAAAGAAAATTATTCGGAGAATCTGATCACACTTTGAAACATCACCTTAGTGTTCATTTATGTATAGGGTGCATTTCTTCTGTTGCATTTGGCATAATAAAACAGCGTGATAAACACATCACGCAAAACGCTCCAATCAGGTAGCGCACAGTGCAAGGTAGAGTTAAGGCAGACCAATGCAGAAAAATTAGATACAGTGTTAATGCCCGTTTAAAAAATTGGAGATAACATTGTATTCAGGGGAAACTTCACTTTACGGCGCAGGCTTCACATCAGTGACCAAGGCAGTCTTATACCCTACAACAGGCTACCACAGAGAGCTGAATCGGTCGGACTCACTTACCTTGTCTGTAGTACATGTCGTTGACAGTGGTTCCGTACACCTTCCAGGCGAAATGAATGGCGACGAGGCTGAAAACGAGCCAGCTGAACAGTATTTTAAATATGGCCACCCTCATATCATTGGCCATCCAATCTTCCACGAACTCGGAGAGGAACGACATCACACCGTCCATAAACCGGGACACGAGCTCGAAATCCCACGGTTCGTCCATTATACGACAGTATCATACAAATTAAACCGACATCGACATCATTAAGACGAAGAAGCTTGAACAAACTACCCTGGAAAGCGTTTCTTTCTTAGAAGCGGGTCTTTAAGCACTATACACAAAAGCCGGACTTTCGAAAAAAAAAAAAAAAACAAGCGGCGACAACACGCTCGATTCGTGTCTACAGATTCGCCACGTAGACCAACCGTGTTAAAAATTAAACAAAAAAAACATATATAGTAGGAAAGTTTCTGTAAGTTACGATTGTAACCCACGGGAAAAGTGTTCTTGGAAGTCATTCATTTTCAATAAATCGTATTAATCTAATTAAATACTAGACAGTCTCTTCAAAAACGTCAAAACTACTAGTGTGAAATCTATGATGTGTTATTTTAAGTGATTCGTCTGTTTTAAATTTTGAAATAATCGGTATAAATTTACATATCTATGTCTATGCTTTGTCATGTTACGTTGTGATTAAGTATATATAATGTATCTGTAACGTGTTTTATGTATATCAATGGCTTCAGCTGAAAACAGAAAGGGAAATAGAAAGAGTGAATCATGGAAATATTTTAATGATGTACTATTACAAAGAAGGATCGAATAACACCAACATACTTTACTCAAAGAAAAGTTTATCGTCCCTGGGTGGGCTCGAACCACCAACCTTTCGGTTAACAGCCGAACGCGCTAACCGATTGCGCCACAGAGACTAGTAGCTTTTTATTTTTTTTTAGTCAGTATAAAGTGACAGCTAATACAATATATGTATCGTATTTTTTTATCAGTTAATTCAACTGAAAACGAAAAACTTAAGTAGTGAATAAGGGAGATACTTTCATGAGGTACTATTATTAGGAAGGGTCAAAATACTAATACATCGATATAATACGTGTATCATGTTTTATCGATATCAACAGAATCAATAGAAAGAGAAATGGAAATAGTGTATAGTGGAGATACTTTCATGAGGTACTACGAGGTACTATTATATGAGGTAAGAAAGGGTGACATAATAGTAATATATCTCGCTAGAAGAAAAAATCATCGTCCCTGGGTGGGCTCGAACCACCAACCTTTCGGTTAACAGCCGAACGCGCTAACCGATTGCGCCACAGAGACTGGTGACACTTCGCATTTTTTTAGTTCTTATGAAGTTACCGTTGATATAATATAGGTATTGTGTTTTAAACAAAATCAATTGAAAGCCAAAAGAGAAATGGAAGTAGTGAATAATGGATATATTTTCACGAGGTACTTTTATAAGGAATGATCAAGTACTACTTATATCTCAGTAGAAGAAAAAAACTACCGTCCCTGGGTGGGCTTGAACCACCAACCTTTCGGTTAACAGCCGAACGCGCTAACCGATTGCGCCACAGAGACTATTGATACGCAGCTTATTTTTTGTCATCATACACTGACAGTTGATGCAGTGTCTGTATTGTGTTTATGTCAATTAAATCAGCTGAAAACGAAGCATTGAACTACTTAATAATGGAGATATCTTCACGAGGTACTATTATAAAGAAGGATCGAATAACACCAACATATTTTCTAGGAAGAAAAGTTCATCGTCCCTGGGTGGGCTTGAACCACCAACCTTTCGGTTAACAGCCGAACGCGCTAACCGATTGCGCCACAGAGACCGACAGCACGCAAGCATTTTTTTAGTGTTTATAAAGTAATACAATAGCTGTATTGTGTTTTTATCAATGAGATCAACTGAAAACGAAAAATGTAAGTTGTGAATAAGGGAGATACTTTCATTAGGTGCTATTAAAAGGAAAGGTAAAGTAAACGAATACATCGAGCTGGAAGAAAAGCCTAGCGTCCCTGGGTGGGCTCGAACCACCAACCTTTCGGTTAACAGCCGAACGCGCTAACCGATTGCGCCACAGAGACTAATGCTGTTATGTTTTTTTTTTTACTAATCATAAACGGTTCAACAGTTGATCCAAAATCCGGCTTGTATTTATATCCTTAGAATGAACTGAAAACGAAAAAATTAAGTGGTGAGTAATGGAGATACTATTATGCGGTAATGTTTAAGGAATGGTCAAGTCATACTAAAACATCTCGCTAGAAAATAAGCTCGACGTCCCTGGGTGGGCTTGAACCACCAACCTTTCGGTTAACAGCCGAACGCGCTAACCGATTGCGCCACAGAGACCGACGGCTCGCAGCTTTGTTTTTAGTGACCATAAGGTGACAGTTGATATAATATCAGCATCACGTTTTGTTTATATCAATAGAATCAATTATTTATATAAATTTTGATTATATCTATTTGATTATATGAAAACAAAAAATTGAAGTAGTGAATAACGGAGATATTTTGATGAGGTACTATTATAAGCAAAGGTACTATTATAAAGAAGGGTGAAATAATGGTAATATATCTCGCTAGATGAAAAGTTCGACGTCCCTGGGTGGGCTCGAACCACCAACCTTTCGGTTAACAGCCGAACGCGCTAACCGATTGCGCCACAGAGACTGACGCCAACTAGATTTTTTTCTTTTTTGTGACCACGAAGTGATAGTTGACACAATAACTGTATTGTGCTTTGTCTTTATCAATAGAATCAGTGCAGATGGAGGGGTGCATATTAGCAGGAGGGAGAGGGACAGGCACCACACCCAAGCGGCTAGGCAAGTCCAGCCCCTGATTTAACACCATGCAATCCTGCCTCTTCACCCTCTTGTTGTGCCACTGTAGGAGGGTCTGCTGCATAACTAAGTAGTAATGCGCTGCCTGAGACTCCATCTGCACACTGCACCAGGCCCCTCTTCTTTGGACTGCGGTGTATGGTCCAGACCCTGTCAAAGATGGTCTAATGGGCAGCAGCAATCTGGCAATCTGGGGCAGTGTTGGTGAGTGAATGCCTCTTCACAACCTTTACCCCTGGAATGAACTACATCCTCTTCTTTGGAGACCTGAACATCCCTGGTGTCTGGCAGCAAACACCACCCTCTGCATATTGTAATCTTGCAGGTTCTGCCACATAGCAACAATGTTGCTCATCTAAGCAGAGACAGAACACAACAGCACACGAGAAGACAAAAACATGTGCCATTGTGAACAGGTATGACAAGTCACAATAGGAAGGTAGCAAGACAAAAAATGTTCCTGACCTGCTGCTTCCTCAGTCACTAAACTGGGCTTCGGTGAAGCAGACTGTGACCAACCAAAGCGTGATTTAGAAACCTGAAAGGCGATACCAAGTCTGTGATTAAACAAATGCAATGTGTTTCATACAAAAAAATAATTACTAAGAAAATACTTACCATCAACAAACTCTAAGGGGGGTGCAGGGAATGAGTGAGGCTGCAACAGTTTCTCCAGAGGCCAAATCTGCTCCATTTCCCTTGTATCTCTCACTGCAGCATCATCCTAGGAGAACACAGAAGAAACAGTTACAGAACACCATACAGTAGTTTACCTCTAAAACTGAATACATTCGTTAGATAACCTTGGTGTTATGAACCATGCATGTAAGAACACACATATGTCTTGGCATCATGCATTGAAGAGATAGAAGTAGGTCTGACAACTGGTGATGAACAAACTTAACACAAGACATAAAATACAGTTCAATTATAACATTTCTTTATAAAAAAGACACCAGACATCAAATAATTATACTGTGCTATGTAATTAAACACTTACATTCAGGGGGAGCAGGTAGGGCAGCTACATGCTCTTTCTCTGTGACAGTATCATTATATAAATAGAATTATATAAACGTGATTAATTTTCAATATGAAAGTATTTAAAAAAACACAATTCTAGTACCTTGTGAACTTCCCCTGTCCAAAGAAGAACTCATAGTACCTAGTGGGATATCCGCAAGATAAAGTTTTACTAATTAGAAAATATCAGCCTTATGCTCTTCAATCAAAACTTTGCAGTGACTTTTGAATTTCTTTTGACAAGCTAATCAGAGTAATGCAGGGTTTGTTACACTGGGTTCGATATTAAGGTTGTATTGGCTGCTATATTTAGTGCAATGTTTATGCATGCTCTGAGATTTTGTAAGTGAATGTTGGAATTTCCTGTTGTCACTTTACTTCAGATGTGTATTACTTAAAGTACTTACACCTAGCTTTATTTTTCCTTCGCGACTGGAACTCTTCAACTGTGTTAATGGGAAAATAATAATTACAAGTAAACAATGTAATCAATCAGTATGACAAGAATTCAAACATTTCATTGCCATACTCACATTCATTTAATGAAGATAGATCATTTCGTTGCATCACAATCACTGATTTTATGGTAGTAAGTTACTTATTTAATGGAGTAATGCAACCCAATTTTGCAACTTTTTTAAATGTCAGAATGTAATAAAACCTTCACTGGAGGAGTCCTCTATAAATCTTGCAGGACGCCGCACCTTCCTCACACTGCCCCTATCGGACTCAACAACAACAACAACAACAAATTTATTTTTGTATAGCGCATTATCACAACATTACATTGTCCCAAAGCACTTTACAGCATCCCCACCCAAAGCCCCCAGTGAGTAAGCCATAGGCGACAGTGGCAAGGAAAAACTCCCTAGAAGGAAGAAACCTTGGGAGGGACCAGACTCAAAGGGGGAGCCCATCCTCCAGGGGCCGGCAGGGAGAGTCAAATACAGTTAAATCTGAGACACAAACGGGGAGCAGGGGGGAGATGGCAAGCCGGTGCCACCGCTCCCTCCAATCGCCAGGCAGCCAGAAGGCAGGGAGCGGGTCATACAAAGAAGATGACACAGGCATCATTAGATGTTTCAAGTCCTTTTTGTGCTCTGTTCCTTGCCAGTTGATAGTTGTCTGTGGATAAAGTAATTTGGCATAAACAGTAAATATCCCTCACAGTAAACAACAGCACCTGTACATGATTAGAGAAAATCATCACTACCGTGTCCAATGAAAAAGCAGGATTGCAATAAAAATTACCTGTAAACGTGAAGACTCTGACTTGGTATTTAGGCCATAGTTGTTTGTCTGCCATATCCCCTCTTTTCACCATTTTGGCAGCGTTGTTCCGCGGCCAATAGCAATATAGCTCCTATAAATGTCAGAGACAAAAGAACACCAAAAATGAACAAAATATAGAAAAACGATGTAGACATTAATATGAAAAGTAAAGTAGGTAAATGATCATCACTTGAGAATATCACTTTATTGAAACTGCTTAAACTAAAAACAACAAATTTATAGAAAACTGACAATGATGCATCTTCTTCATAGTTTACATTTTACTTTCTTTTTCTTGTATCTGTCCTTTTTCATGTCTAATAAAATGCATCTAACAACTTTTCAGTGATAGAATTGTTTGTTAAAAGCAATTAAAGCACATTTACCAAGAATCAGAGATTATGTATCTCTTTGCATTAAGGTTGATCTGCTACCGTATGCAAACTAATTTCCCCGTGGGATCAATAAAACTTAGTTATCTAAGATACCACTGCACGATGCAATACATGGAAAAAAGTAAAAAACTGGGTCACAAAAATGCCGAAACCCGGGATCGAACCAGGGACCTTTAGATCTTCAGTCTAACGCTCTCCCAACTGAGCTATTTCGGCAGATGTCACAATGTCTCAACCACCACTTCTTTATAGTAGTAAACAATAGTAAAGTATTCTTCGTTTTGTAACCTTGTCTATAAATATCTTCAAATATTACCACTGTACTTAATTTCTATCCATCGATTCAACATTTACATCATCCAGTAGTTCAAAAAGACATTAAAACCCCGTCTTTCTTGTACAGCGACCTATTGTTACTTCAGATGCCTGACATATTTCTCACTATAGCTATACACGATTATATTTACGATACACATTAGCGGTTAATGGCAATCTCAACATGCAAACTCTTTTTGTAATAATACAAAAAATAACAAAAACCTTTAATTTTATAACAACTATTTCTGAGTTCTCCAAGGGACAGTTTCAGAAGTATGTCACTATACGGGCCAGTGGCGCAATGGATAACGCGTCTGACTACGGATCAGAAGATTCTAGGTTCGACTCCTGGCTGGCTCGTTACTTTTCGCTATTTTTTCAAAGAACCGTAAAGAAATGGATGACGTCCATGTCATACCGCTAAATATAATCGATTTTAACTCGAGATGTGCACTTCCTTGGGTCGTATTTTTTTTAATTCTCGATTTGCTGTATATTAAATGGATCACAGAATTATATGCGGTTACAAAGGTTATTGCGGCGTGTGGATCACTGGAAGTTGATCTGGAATAACGAAATTACTGATGACGGAAGGTAGTTAAACCAATTTGTGGCTAATCCTATAACGATACATTTGATCAAACTACACAGTTTATGGGGAGCATGATGCAAATAATTACTATGAATAGGTTGTAACTTATTGTTTATATTACCATAACGATGCTTAGCCAGCTTGTGAAACCGCCAAATTTTCATTGCCACCAGATGGCAATGCCGAGCTACGTATAAATTCAGAAAAGAATCACGGCATTTTAATAGTAAAAATGCTTTAATGAAGTAACGTTAAAATCATACGCCAAGCTAAAATTTGTCCAACTTTTGAGGTTCTCGGGAAAATTTCATCACAACTGTCCCCAACACTCTTTTCCGTAACTATCAAACCTTCTCTAAAGAAAAAACAATGCATGTAATTAAGAATAGGAAAACACAGCAAAAAGACAAGGCAATGAGATCCTTAAAGGGAGTCAGCAAAACAACGAACAAATCTTTTAAGAACAGTTCAAATTGAATGAGAGTATTTTAATACTTTTGAAATTCAACTATAACTTTTAAGAAAATACATTGTACGATTTTGTCACCATGCAAGGAAAAGTTGGAAAAACGAAATGCTCTCTGACAACACAGGGTCTTTTCCCATAGTTTTCTCATACTCGTTGATTAATCACAATGCTAGCTAATAGTAGTTCGTTGTAGGCTTAGGCCTGTATCAGGGGCGTTTCTGGTTATTGAAAAGATCAGGGGCTAAGTCAAATTGACCTGAGGTTTGACTTTTTTATTGTCATCGGGGCTAAAATGCTCAGGGCTATAGTCCCGGGTGGTGGGACATAACAACGTCCATGGCCTGCATCACGCAGGGGCAGACACTTCTCTTTGGACCCTAAGCTACCTAATGGGTAGGGGTCCCCTAAGTAGGTCACCTGAGCTATTTTTTTGTAGCCGAAAGAGAAACGAGAGGGAATTTAAAGATGGGAAATTTAATCAAAGCGCGGGTGCCAGCAGTAAAACTTCGATCAGGGGGCGGGAGGACTGTCGGTAAAATTAGCGAATGGGGAGGACAGCGCCGGCGGATCGATCGGCCGGTTTTAATAAGTTTAACTGATCCCTCTTTTGTAATGTCCGTCTTGAGTTTTGCATATGCTCAGTTAATCGTGTTCAATTCACGTCTGTTCACAAGCTGTCTACCATTCTAGCCGGACCGTATCAAAGACTCGGGATACGTAAAGTTAATCTTATATCTTAGCGTCGTTTTCCCCGGTAGGCTTCAGTGTTAAAACTAAGCTGGCCAGCGCAAAGTCTCAAAGCAGACTAGCACAGCCGGGAAAAGGGTAACTCTGTCTATCCCGAAAACTGTCGCTAAAATGCAAATAACAGACATGTTACTATAATTTAAATGATCATATTATGTAATATCCTTAAATGCACCTAGTTTTCTGGGGGCCTAGGCCGCTGTCTGCACTTGCCTTATGGTAAATCCACCGCTGATAGCAGGTTGCATAAAAAGTCACCAGTCTTTACTCTAAATACAACATATACATTTACAGCATTTAGCAGAAGCTCTTTTCCAGAGCGACTTCCATTTTTCTAAATTCAGGGACAGTCCCCCTGGAGCAAGTTGGGGTTATGGGTCTTGCTCATGGACCCAATGATGGTAGTACCAGAGTGAATTTAATATAATTTACTGCAATTGTTTTCTGAATTCAGAAATGTCCCAATCCAGTGAAATGACTACACCGATCTGCGCTCTCTAGAGATTTACAGAGGCACACGACAAACAGTTCTGTAAAATCTGGCTTTGCTATTTGCGTTTTATAATATTACACGTCATATAACTGTGGTTTCAAGCACAGGGCTAAAAAAAATAAAATGTATTTTTTAATTATGGATTGTACATTTCAAACATAGTATTTAACACGCCCAAGTACATTTTTATAATAAATTTAAAAACACCACAAGAGCATGTACTATAATATGTCACTAAACTATTTTCAAACACATTTATGCACCATCATCATTTTACAGATATAAAATCTTCTATAAAGATGGACAAGGATTAAATAGATTAAACAATTACAGTCAACTGGTGCATTCAGGGGATATCTATTCAGGCCCTGCTGTTTTTGGTCAGAGTTAAAGATT